TAAACCTTAAACTCGAAACCCTAACCCCACTTTATTCGAGCATACAAGAAGAATCCAACTTTTGACAGCCTGCAACATTTCCTTGGATCTTGAAAGTAATTATATCCTAATTATAGCCTAACTAAGTAGAACTCAAGTATACTTATACAGAGTAACTTATACAATTATAGGTAGCTTATGATTATGGCCACCCCTAAACCCTAAACCCTAAACCCTAAACCCTCAGTAAGTACTCCTGAACATGGCTCAGGTCCAGTCGGCTGAGCCATGGCGACTTGAGAGCTTGCAGTGGCTTGGGCCCAAAATTGTCTGCGTAGGGCTTAGGATTTAGGGTTTAGGATTTAGGGTTTAGGGTTTAGGATTTAAGGTTTAGGATTTAGGGCTTGGGATTTAGGGTTTAGGACTTAGGGTTTAGGATTTAAGGTTTGGGATTTAGGGTTTAGGGTCTAGGGTGTGATATATGGGGAGAATGGAAAAAAATTGAAGCTACTGTTTGGGTTTAGGGTTTTAGGTTTATACCGATTATCCTGAGTACCTCTTGGCCATACAATAGCAACGATGGCAACGGAGCTGACGTCTCAGTAGCAGCAGCAGCGAACCTTTTCGAGAGACAGGTGCTCTCCTGAAATACCAAAAGCAGCTGGCAGCTGTCAGCGTGAGACATTCGATAAGATGCCTGTCGTTCGCAGGGCCAAATTTTTCCGGTGGTCTTTTGCCATAAGCTAATTATCCAGGATACGGAAGTACCTCTACACAGATATCAATCGACTTGGTTTCTTTACAGAGCGAGGCCTTCAGATCCCAAACTGGATCTGGGCCTTTCGGTAAAGGGCAGCAGTTTTTGTCCGCAAAGCTATGCTTCACAACTTCTCGTGCTTTCTGCTTTCGGCTCCCCGTGCCAGCGGTCACGAGCATGGATGTTGCAGGCGCGCCCTCTAAGGAGCCTAGACATTTCATCTCAAGAAAGCTGCGGCCTTTGGCCTTCTTGAAGCCTGCACCATGCCGGCCGCCAGTTTCTGTAGCCAGGACCATGAGCCGAAAAGGCTGGGTTTCGCGACCTACCTTGAGCTCAAACTCCGGACTGATCAGCTTCTCTGCATGAGACTCCAGCCTGGGTTGCTGTTAAGGAGCTTGAACTAAGTAACTCTTATAGGGAAACCCCATTATATATGCAGATATATATATATATATATCTGAAATATCCATGTTATGGTACCTTCAACCCTGAGCCCCATATACCTACATTCTGGTAATTGAGACCCGGCAGCTTGTGTCCATCCACACACCAGCGGATACGTTGGCCGCCATTTGGAGCCGGGTTGCACTCGAGTGTGCCTGGCCTTGGTCTTCCCACGGGTATCACTATATGGGGGTTTCCCAAAATTAGGGTACCCTTTTGGGGGTCCCAGTAATAAGGACTATAGTATTTTGGGGTCTATATTGGGGTACCCCCTTTTTTGGGGAACTACCATATACGTACATACATACATACATACATACATACATACATACATACACATACACATACATCCCTAGGCTGCGTAGGGGCATCATAGGTATAGGCGTATATACTCTGCTCCCAGCAGCCCCGACCATTCCCACTGTTCCTGGTTCCACGATACTGCGCCAAACTTCTGTTGCCAACGTGCCCCGCGGGGCTAGGGTTTGGGGTTTGCAACCTGGTGCTTGGCGGTGCCTTAGACCCTAAACCCTAAATAGTAGTTTCCATTTTCTTTTCCATTATCCCTATATAATCCCCGTATCCACCCTTTAAGGGGACCTAGGGTTCTATCTACTTAAGGGGACCCATATTTGATCATATTTGCATTGGGAATAAGAAGGGACTGCCGTGAGGATCCTACCGCTCATGTTTCTACTGCACTCCCCTTTATGACACTTCCGCGCTCCTCAACAACAAACAGTCGCCCATATACGTATTTACTGGCGGGGTGGGGGGCGGTGATTGTTAGGAGGTGCTCAGTGGATGAAGCACCAAGTAGTTTAACTGACTTTTGAAGAACATGGTAGTTTCCATGTCCTTTTCCATTCCCCTATATACTTCAGTATGAGCCACAGTCAAATAGTCTCTAGTGTATTATCCCCTACATGACCCCCTTTCAGGAGTTTAGACTATAGCCCTAAACCCTAAACCCCGTTGAGGGACACCAGGTTGTTTAACTGACTGTTCTGTAGGCAGACCTAAGCCCTCCGCGCAATAGGCTCAGGAAGCTCTTGCGGCGGCCTCACAGCTCTAAACGGGATTTGGAATAATGAAAATGAGACTTTAGGTGGATTGTTAGGGGTTATAGAATGTAGTATGGGGATACTGGAAAACAAGTGGAAACTACCATGTAGGGTTTGGGGTTTAGGGTTTAGGGTTCGGTTGGGTGGAACCCCCCAACCAGTAACATTGACTTGAAGGGATAATAAGGATTGTATTAGGGCCCTCTTATATACTTATAGTCCGAATAATACCACTATTACAGGGTGGGGGGTCCTCCTTAAACAGTACTAGTGTTGATAATAATAGTAGCAATACTAATTGCAATGACCATACTAGCGTTCATGATCACAATAGTTTGATAGCAATGACAATATTTATGATTTCCAAATCCGCCGTAGGCCTGGGGCGTTTGGGTCTAAGGCCCGTTTGTTTTTGTGAAGTCTCGGTTCATTTCGGATGTTGTATCTTGCCCACGCGGGTGATGAGTCTGAAGGGGCCGGCACCAGCTTCCCGCACAAATCTGCTGCCGCCCACTGCCCGCATATGCTTGCTTTTGAGGCCAACATGCTTGCTACCTGTCTCTGCCGCACTCACCTAGGCCGCACTCGCGGCAGCAATTAAATGGTAGTTCCCCTAAATAGGGGGACCCCAATATAGACTCCGAAATACTATGATCCTTATTATGGGGACCCCCTAAAATGGTACCCCTAAATTTGGGAAACCCCAAATGACAGAAGGGCCTCTGCTTGCCAGCCGGCTTCTCCGGCTTCTCCGGCTTGGAGTCCGTGGCCGGCTTGGGATCACCAGGGCGCGGGGAAGCTGTACGACCCAGCAGGGTGGGTTGCTGTTCCTGGCATCGGCTGCTTATCATCTCCATGAGTGCCAACACTGCAAACCGAGTAAATGGAAAGCACCTGTGCCAACGGCGCATCTTGCCCCTGATCGCATGGAGGTTGCGGCGTCATTTGGACTGGCTGGCTTTCGGGAGCTACCAGCAATAACGGCACCTCAGCTGGGACAAGTTGAGGAGTCGCTGGCAGCCTTAAAGCACCCCAGAAAGTCGAATGTCCCTGAATTAGGGAATATACACTAATTGATACTAGGATTCCTAATATGATTTAAGGCATATTCCCATGTTGATACTAGGATCCCTGAAATGATTTAAGGCATATTCCCTAACTGAGGGATGTTGGGCTTTCTGGTGCGTTGAGGGATCATCAACCTTGGCCAAGGCACTCCAAGGTAGTTTACTTCGGGCGCGACCGTCTGCACAGTTGCCTTGGCTTCCTATACTTACTAATAACTAGTAATAATAGCCATCACAGTAATGATTATAGCAATAACAGTGATAATTAGCGATAGCAATATTAATGGCAAAGATATAGTAGTAATAAGAATAATAAGAACAACAATAATGGTACTAGTTCCCCTGTTCTTGCTCGCAGCCTGCAATGAAGTTACCCTCCGCCAAACTAAAATAGATCCCAGGACCCCTCTGTAGATTTGGTAGTTTCCCAAAGTAGGGGGAGCCCAATATAGACCTCACTAAACTATAATCCTTGTCATGGGGACCTCCCAAAAGGTACCTCTCATTTTGGGAACCTCCCTCTGTGTGTTTTGTTACAGAAGGCGATATGGGATTCCATGTTGTTTAGGGTAGGGCAACCAGCACTCCTACGATCTCGCTGAGTGCAGCGCCTGCGCCACTGGAGCTGTTGGTTCGCGAGCTGGCGGGCTTGTAGCTGAGGCGGCAGTTGTGGGAGCTGGATACCCAGTCTCAACCACGGTGCGCTTGCCTGCCTCGGTCTGTGCGTAGTCCGGATAAATGGGGGTTTCCCGAAATTAGGGTGCAATTCTGGGGTGCCCAGAATGAGGATTTTAAAGTATTGGGGTCTATACTTGGGTCCCCCTATATTGGGAATTTACCACATATACCCAGAAGGCGAATGTCACACGTGCAACAAGTCTTCAGACAAAAAGCCGACAGCGGCGCTTCCATCATGAGCTGCTGCTCCCAAAGGTCTGGAGTATTAATCCGCTGCCAACCTCAGTCTCATAGAAACGAAAAGATATCCGTTTTCATGATGGTAAGGCTGTGCTATGGGGGTTGAGGGTAGTCTCACAGAAACAAGGGGCTTGCCAAGAATCGCGAAAAGAAGAAATCACATTCCGCAAGAAGAAGACTGCTGCCCCCAGGTTTCATACTCTCACGGTGAGGTCTTCTGTGGGAGCCAGCATCTACAACATGACTGGATAGAAAGTGGCACACAAAAGACGTCCAGTTGGTAGCCATTCTCTGCGCAGCTTACAACACGAGAGTGGCACCGCAAGTCATGCTCCTCTAGCGTGGGGACTGCTTGAAAAAGACTGCCAACACGGAATTTGCTCTGGAAGCCTTCATGTCATTTCGCCACTGCATGTTTTTTCTGCGAAGCCTCCTTCAAGCGTTAAAAACCTTTCTGTGTAACGTTATGTAACCCCATACAGCTTGGACATCATTGTATTGAGGTTTCTTATACTGTTACCAGGTTGGGGCGTGCTAAGTTCTCTAAAATGCCCAAATAAGCCCCATAACCCCAAAACAGACCTCCACAAATTCCTAGGTTACACCAATAAGAAGAGCTATCATATTCATGTTAATGTCCTTCTACCTCCCATAAAATAACTACAACGTTTTGTCGATCTGTTGGGAGCCATCTGTGACTAATCACTTCCCCCTGACGCCCGACCCTCTGATACGAAAGAGCCTCATAACGTAGAATGGTACCATATGGTAGTTTCCCAAAATAAGGGGGGACCCCAATAGACCCCAAATTACGATAGTCCTTACTTTAGGGACCCCCAAAAAGGGTACCCCAAATTTTGGAAAGCCCCATATCTACAGCGTTGACTAGGGAGGGAGTGGTGCGTCGTAGTATCAGGGGGAGACAATCCTCACGTAGTCTAAGTTTCAGGTTCATGTTGACACCTACAGGTTTCAATATCATGTTTGATGTGATACTTTCATAAAACTTCTGACGTTGCCAGTTTCGATTTCAGTTCCCATGCCATTCTTCATTATGAGGGGTGGGGGGGTATGGAAGGTGTCTGTCATATGACTTGTATAAGGTCCTCATGATATGGAAAGTCCCAGTCTGGACCCCGAACCTAGTCCCTGAAGCCTAGTCCTCCAACCCAAACCCTAAGCCCTAATCCCTCAACCCTGAACCTAATCCATCCCGGAAAGCCTAAACACTAAACCCCTAAACCCTAAATCCCTAAATCCTCAACCCCAATCCCTGAGACTCCCTATACGCCCTAAATCCTGAGGGCTCAAAGGTGAGGTAAAGGAAAAAGGTCTTGGATAGGAACTAAGCCCCAACATAATAGGGTTAAGGGTTTAGGGTTTAGGATTTAGGGTTTAGGGTTTAGGGTATAGAGTCTACAAGAGGGGCCTTCTAGCCCACCTACCTTCATCCCACCTTCTTTTGGATCCTCAACCTTAAACCCTACATAGCCCTAAATAAGCCCTGTATCACCCCTTTCACATCCCTATAGCCCCTGTAAAGGTACCCCTAATTTCGGGAATCCTTTAGAACCCTAAACCTTAAACCCTATGAGTCAGGTTGCTTGGCTTCTTCTGAGCCGGCGCGCGCTTTCCTGTAGACATTTGTTCCATCCTCAGACCGTTCAGAGCCCCTTTCAAGTACACTCCCGGAAACTAACATGGAAACCCAAAAAGGGCCCCATAAAGACTACAGTCCTTCTAAAAAGGGACTATGTGGGTTTCCATGTTAGTTTGGGAGAGTGTAGGCTCTGTGCTACTCG